AAGCCCCAAGACGGCCCCAAGATGCGCCCAAGAGGGGGACCACGACTCCAAAATTCGACCCTCCCGCTTGAAGAGTGCCCCAAGAGGCACCCAGGAGGCCCAAACGAGGCCTAAAGAGGCCACAAAACAGCCCCGAGGAGGCCCCACAACGGTCCCAAAAACGGCTACCGAGAAGCTGCGAAACTGCCTTCACGACGTCCCCGACAGGCCAACCACGAGATCCAAACCAACACCCATGAGGCCTCTGACCCACCACCCAGGGCACGGTGGCGGGAGCAGTGACAGCACTTGTGCACAGCATGTTCCGGCGGGAGCCTTCCAGAACACGCTGCAGGAGGAGGAGGAAGATCAGGAGTAGAGAGAGCTGGAGTGGCAGGAGGAGGAGGAGGAGGAGGAGGAGGAGGAGGAGGAGGGGGACGAGGAGGAGGAAGAGGCCTCCAAGACAGCTCCAAGATAGCCGAAGAGGCTTCCAAGAGGGCCCTGGGCGGCCCACGAGGGCCCCAAGGCGGTGCCTGAGGCGCCCAAGACGGCCCGAGAGGGCCCCAAGACGGCCCCAAGAGAGGCCCAAGAAGGGAAATACGAACCGAGAATCCGAGCTTCCTACCCCGAGAGGTTCTCGGGAAGTCCCAAGAGGCGCCCAATCGGATCCAAGAGGCCCCCAAGAAGCTCCCAAGAGGGCCGACGAGGTTCCAAGAGATCTCCCAAGGTGACCCCAAGAGGTACAACTCATTGTTTTACGATTGGGCTTTGACGGGTTTAAATGTTTTCGGCCTGTTGGCATCCCGATGCTCCAAGACGGCCCAAGAGGCTTCCAAAACCGTTCCCATATAATGGAAAGGGGCCCCAAGACGGCCCGCGAGGGCCCCAAGACGGTGCTTGAGGCGCCCAAGACGGCCCGAGAGGGGCCCAAGAGCCCCAAGAGAGGCCGAAGAAGGGGAACGCGATCCAACAGCAGAGCGTTCCCCCCAAAAGGCCCACAGGAGCCGCAAGAGGCCCCCAAGTGTTCCGACGAGGACCCCGAAAGCTTCCCGAGGGCCTACAAGGCCCCTAGGAGACGTCCAAGAGGCTTTAAAATAGCCCAAGAGGGCCCTCGATGCGTCAAAACTGCTTCCAGGAGGCCCCCGGGAGGCTTCCGGATTGCTTCAATCTGGCCGCAGGTGGCCTGAAGTTGGGCCTCCACGCAGCCAAGACGGCCAATGACGGCTTCAGATTGCATAACCGATGCCCCCAAGGGACCCTCAGACGCCCCCCCAAGAAGCACCCAAGAGGTGCCTCCAACAGCCAGTTGACGAAGCATGCGGAACACCCCAGAAGCTCCTCAGATGCCGTCGCGCGCCTGTGCTTGATAGCGATGTCCAAGATCGTCCAGCGCCCCCCCGGCCTGGGCTAGAACCTGAGCGCGCGCTCAGGATGGCCTGGACAGTATGCCCGGGCCTGGGCATACTGTCCTGAGTCCTGAATGGATGAGAATCTAACCCAAATTCACAATTCCCTGATTCCTTGGGGCCTTCGGAGACTCCGCGAAAACGTTAAGAAGCCGGGAGGCGCGGTACTGGCCAGATGTCAGGGGATATGTAGGACCCCCGAGTAGGAGTTCCCTTTTGATGAAAAAAAGGAATTCTTGGAATTCCCTCTCTTTTTTCCCAAATCTTCGATCTTTGAGGGCTGGAAGCGGGGAAACATGAGAAGGCGAAAAGCATAGGAAAAACAATGGAACATCAACGATTTTACCCTCTTTGGGCTCTCTCGGGACGGCTCTCGCAGCTCTCTTGGGCTGTTCTTGGAGCCTCGTCGGGGTCTCTTTGGGGGCCTCTCAAGGATGGGGGGGAGTTGGGGGCCTCTGGAGGGTCCCGGAGGCCTCTCGGAGGTCTCTGAAAGCCTCCTGCTCCCGCTCTTGGGCCCATCTTGGGCCTGTTCTGGGGTGGTCTGGCGCTGTGCTGGGCGCCTCTTCGGCAGTCTTGGAGCCTTCTTGGCTCGTCTTGGGGCCGTCCTGAGGGTCTCTTGGGTGGTCTTGGGCCGGTCTTGGGAGGTTCTTCGGCGCTCTTGGACCGTTGGAAGCTCGAAAACGCGGGAAGTCAAAACATTGAAAAGACCATTGAACATATACGACTTTGGCCTCTTCGGGCCGTACCGTGATACCTATCAGACTTCTTGGGGTCTCTTGGAGGCCACATGGGAGCCTCGAGAGCCGTCGAAAAGCTGACCTGGGCTGCTCGGGAGCGTCTTGGGCCATCCTTTCGCATTCTGGGGTCTCCTGGGGGGCGTCTTGGGCCCTCCTGGCGCGCTGTGGACGCTCCCCGGAAAAGCTGGGGGAGCGGTGCCGGGAGCGTCCCCGAGATGTGGCCATAATCTTTTCAACGCGTTCCGGGAGCATCTTCCCGGAACGCGCTCGTGGCAGGGCGCCCACGTCCGAGGACGTTGGCATGGGTTGGCATGGGAAACCGCAGCGCGTGATCATTCCAGCGCGTTCCGGCGAGTGGGGGAGGGGGGAGGGGGGAACGAGTGCATTGCCGCTGCCACAGAGAGAAGGAGGAGGAGGAGGAGGAGGAGGAGGAGGAGGAGGCCAAGGACAGGGGGACGAAAGAATCGATGACGAGACCATTCGACATTGCAGTCGCCAGCGTCTGCGCTAGAACCTAAGCGCGCGAAGCGCGCGCGTGGTTCTAGTATGTAGATATGTCTGTAAATATGCGAATATGCATGTTTAGAGATTTGCACGTGTGCATTCACGTATGTATGTATGTCCGTATGGATGTGTGGATGTATTATGTATATATGGTATGCGTATGTGTGGGGTATGTTATGTTTGGAGTATGTATGTATGGCCGTACGTATGGATGCAGGTAAGTGCGCATGTATGTAAGTATGTTTGTACGGATGCATGTATGAATGGATGGGTATGATGTTATACACGCATGTGTAATTCAGTTCGGCCTCATGGTGTGTGCGTCACGCTGCGTTCGCAGTTACATGTTTATGGCCGTATTCACGAATGTGCGTTTGTGTGGACTTGCCCAGCCATGATTTGCAGTAAGTGTGTTCATCCAACGTTCATAATGATGTCCGTATGACAGGTGATATCTCTGGTCACCGTCGAGCCCGCATCTATTGTTTTTGCGCGGCGCCAACGTTGATTACGACCAGAAGCCCTCGCTGGCCGCTGCTCAGCCAAAGTAACCCGACCACCTCCTGCGTTGTCAATGTTCTTTTCTGGCCCGTGGTGGCGTCATCTGTAGTTGCCGCCGTCGTTCGCGCTCGCGAGTCGCTGCCTGGCCCCATGAGCCCTGGGTGGTGCCAGCCTACCTTGGGTGGTGCCAGCCTACTAGCGCTTGTAGCTTAGCCCTCTCTGCGCTGGGTGCGCCAACGTCGGTTGCCCGCCCCTACCAGCGTCCGCCTTGCCACCCCGTACCCAGCCTCGGGTGACCCCAACCACAAGCCCCCGTTGTCCCGCGCCTGTTTCCCAAGAACCCGTGTGTGGCGCAAGTCCCGGTTACCGCCACACGGTTGTACAAGCCGTGGCTTAGCGGTAAGTATTTTCGGATGGTCCCAGTATAGTGCCGCCATTATTGACCAGTGTTATCATTTTCGTGGCATCGACGCAGGTTGCGTCTCGGAAGCCAGTGGCCATAAGGTGCCGACAGTTGCTGCCGCCATTGTAGTACCCACTACCTCTGCTAGCCCTGGCTGGTTGCCGCCATTGTGAGCCATTGCCAGCCGTTGCCCGAACCCAGTGGCCGTGGTTGGCGCCAGCGCGCGTTGCCGCCTCTAGTCCCGTATTGGGCAACGTTTGCCAAAAAGTGTGATACATGTGTGGGGTGTGTTTGAGGGTTGTCTTCGAGGGGTGCGGAAGGTCTACGGTGCGGGTAAAGGGGGCCCACCCGATGGAGGGTTTGACATGGCCCGTCTGGCGGGATTCCGATTCAGTCCGTTATCAAAGTGTGTGTGTGTGTCCTTGTCGGACGTCAACACCACTTGCCGCCCTTGGCCCACAAATCTCTCCCCAGCTCGCCCCAGTGGCCCCTGGTTGTGATTTTGCTGGCAGCCGCCGCTAGCCCTCGGGAGCCCGTCCTTGATCCCGCGAGCCCACGGGTGGTGCCCGCGCCCGTTGCCGACCGAACACGAACCCCCATTGGCGCATGTTTAGCAGCATTGCTTAGTCCTGGGTGGCGCAAGTGCCAGTTGCCAGCAGTAGTTAGCCCAAGACAGGGACCAGGTAGCCCAAAATTGGTTGTTAGCTCCCATTGGCCGTTGCCGAACCTCAGCGTCAGGCGTTGCCAAGGGTCACCCTCACCCCAGATTGCTGCATGAGGCCCAGCGCCCAGGCGGCCCCCAGAGCACCCCTCACAATGACCAGAGACCCCAATGGCTCCAAAATTGCGTCAAAGGCCGTGGAATTCGACAGGAGCTCCACGATTGCACACCTTGCTTTCCTTATTGGTGCTCGCCTTGCCTCACGGTCAATGGATGGCGCCAGCGTTGCAATTGAGTTCATTAACGGCAAGTACGTTCCCTCTGAAGGTAAAGCTTCATGAGGCGGCGATGAGTTCGTTGAAGGCAACAACTACACGGCGAAGGGCTCATTGCAGACGCACCCACCCATTACATCAAATGCAGTCATTGACTCCTTTGCCGTTAAACATTGTGCCTTCGGTGGCACCATCACCACCAGCACGAGGTGTCTACCAGTCCTTGTCAAGCGTGAACAGCCGTGCCCTCGTGACGCAAATTTTGACTGTTCTATATGTATGCGATGTGTTCCCACAAATTTGGCCACGCGGGTTGCAGTGCATGGCATGCCGAACATTGAGAAACTTAGCAATGCACCAGAGTTTGGTGCCGCGATTGTCAGCCTTCTATCACCCGTTCCCTCCTCACCGCCAGTTGTTGCCACTAGACAGATTCTATGCGTAGTCCAGTGAAAAATTGTGTTGTGTCACGAGCACGTATCGTTTGTTCTTTGTGCGTTATCTATGTCCTGTTGCGGTTCTTCGCGGTCGCAGGAACAAGTCGGCAAGTTTACGCGTTAGGATAGTAGTTGCGCATGTCTGCATCAGTTCTTGCTTTGACGCCTGGCTAAACCCAATAAGTATGTGGACCACATTGCCTGAACCAGACATGTCAGCATCGTGTTCTTGTTTTGTGGTACAGTACCCGTTGCACCCACGTGCTTCAACAATGTTCTCGCCGTTTGTGAAGTTCGAGCGATTTCTTGGCGATGGGTTATCGATGCGAGTGATGAGTGGCAGGTGTCGTACTGTATTCGCGTGTTTTCGTTATCATTCACACGCACGTTCGATACGATGGATGTGCCGTTGTTTTCTAGTGGAGGCTTTCGATGAAATAAGCATGCGTTGGTAAAGTTGTCGGCCGTTGTTCTCTTCCTGTGCTGGCGTCTTCGTACGGATGCTCGCATCCATGTTCTGGCCGTGTCACCCTCTGGAATGTACAGTCAATGAGTTCGAATGCGCGATGCACTCGATAGAAATAGCGCTGGGGAAGCACGCTGTCTTGAGTGGATCAGTCTCCACACTTCGATCGAACCACTTGTTTTTGTTCTGGAGTTCACTGGATACGAGAGTTCTGGATAGCGAAATCCCAGAAGCTCTGGCACCGAAGGCTAATTCCATCCATGGTTGTCTTCTTCTTCTTCTTTGTGTCAGTGGTGTTCGTGCCGCGGCAACGATGGTGCAACTAGTTTGCGTTATTGATTTGGGTTCGGGTGCACATTTTTGTGAATAGCGTTGGCTTATCACACGTATTCCTATTCTTACCTCTGTCCCTCATGATGAACCCGTTCTTTTGATTGCTTTTGCCATCCGCTCTCGCCGTTGTCTCCAGGAACACCGGTTGAAGGTGTCGGGCACAAATCTTCGCTTACGAAAAAGAACGAGTCTTTAGGTAGCACGTGTGTTGTACGTCCAGTCTCCTTGAAAGAATCATTGCTCCTAGAAGCGTGTTCGGAGGATCCGTAGGAACGCTTAGTTTGGTCTGTGTTTCAATGATGACTGGACGAAGCCCGTGCGCACGCCTTAGACGATAGAGGAATGCTACAGGACAACGTCACCATGCGCTGCCTCGCGCACCACGCTGTTGGATGAGAAAGGAGGCCCTAGACCCTCCAGCGTTTCGAACAAACATACCGAAGTTTCTAATCATGTTCGGCCTCTGGAGGCCGTGTTAAAGCTACGCGACTGACGACAAATATTCTCGGGAAGGGATCCAGAGTTCCGGGCATTTTCTACACAGCAAAGTATGAAGTTATCAGTGCAAGCACAATTTGGGGAATATGAATATACGTGCATATCCCCACGTCGATGTTGCAGAAGACCGGGAATGAGGAGGGAAGAAAGGGAGGGTACAGAGCCAGGGGGAAGGAAGGAAGAGGAAGAGGCGGGAGGGAGGGATGGCGGGGAAATCTATGCAATTGAATGCAGGATGTGTTCAGTCTAACTCTGGACCTGCCCGCTTTGGCGTCCACGTCCGTTGCAGAGATGATGGGGTAGAGAGGACAAACGAGAGTTAGGAGAAGAAACGAGAGCAGTGTTATTGATTGTTAGTGGCGCAAGCTTGCGGTGCGAGTGCGACGTGGAAATGCCCGTCGGCCTAGAAAGTGTCGCGCGAGTTCGGATGTTTCGAAATTTCGTGGGTTCAGCCTACACGCAGTGATCAAACGAGTGTGCGGTGGATGCCGAAACCGATGGGATTGGATACTCAAAGTTTCAACAATGTAGACCAAAAACCGTAGCTAATGGAGACAGGATCGGTACTGGTGGATATCGAAACCGAACCCTACCGAAGCCACGACTACGTAACCGTTGTTAGCGCAAAGCATTTTCTCAAGAAGACACGAGACGGCATTTGAGGAGGAGGGAGACGAGTGATAAATTGTAGAAAAGCAGGAGGATAATGAGGGGGAGGAAGACGATGAAGGAGAATCGAGGAAGAGAACGGGGTGGAGGATGCGGAGGAGCGAATTTCGAGGACCGAGTAGATGGAGTGAGGAAGGGACGATCGGGGGAGCAAGGAAGGGAATAAAAGGAAAAGTTCTGACGAGGAGAGAGTAAATTTGTAGCATGCATGCACCTCGTCGAGGCCCCTCCTTGTTCAACTCGTTCCTCGATATTCGTTCATCCTCAACCCGCGTGCCATCTCCTCATGCTCCCCCTCGTCGTGTTCATTATTATTTCTCCCTTTGGGCATCTTTTCACTATGGTCCTCACTCGTCCCCCTTCTGCTCCATCCTTCGTCCTCCCAATGCTATAGCTCTTTCGTTCCTCTTGTCCCCCCCTCTTCTCCCGAGGCCCCTTCATCTGGATTTCAATATTCATGTCCATCCGCACCTACGCCGTGGAGGGACTTTGCGCCTCAGTGCACCAACTTTCCAAATCTAAACCCGCGTCCTCCTCCTCCTTCCCCTCCTCGTCCTCGATAGTTCAAACATGTTGTGTTTCTGACATTGGTGGGGTCTCTGAGTTATTCCGAATAGAGCTCCGTCCAGCATTGGTGGGTGTCCCTTGAGATAGTTCAAACACGTCCTGCCTCGGGCATGGGCGGCGTCTCTGTTATAGTTTCCTCCGTCTGGCATTGGCAGTGTTGCTGATTTACTTCAGGCATATGCTCCGTCTGGCATTGGTGGGCGTCTGTTGGTTTATTCCAAGGATGCTCAGCCACTGGCATTGGTGCAAGTCTGTGTCATTTTACCTGTGTTCCGCGTTCACGGCGGGACTGGCCCACCCCACATGGACCCCCATTGTTCGTCAAGGTTGCGCATCCTCCCCTCCCTCGGGGATTTTATATGTAATACACCAAAAAATAGATTGTTCGCCCTCCCTGTGACAATATGTCTGATGAACCATCATGTTTCCGAGCTCGGCGCAAACGATAGCTTCTGTAATTGATTGAAGGGATTCTCCCATACCTCTCCTTGCTCCGACTCCCCTATGAATTCCCTCGCATAAGTATTCGCGATCCGATTCTCCACTTCTACCGTCCAACGCCGCCCCCCAAAAAAACAAGGCTGCCTCTCTCGCTGCACTGCGTACCCAAACCTTCTACATAACAGTTGCAGAAAATGAACGCATAACATATCATAATTGATGACCTTGAATGTTGAGGCACACCCAACGCAGTGAGGAATGCCGGGGTATGAATAAGTTGATTCGGGGTGGTCCGCGTGTGACAAAAATAGATTACACGGCGCGTCCGAGGGAAACCAAAAACCCAATGTTTCAGCACCATGATGTGGAAGTCGCGTACCCCGCCAGTTCGAACAGATGCCCAGCTGACTTGATTTGCACGGGGGAGTTTCGCATCATTTGGAGATAGTGAGGGGTTGTGGTGGCTAGAGGCACTTTGGATGCCTCTTTCCAGTAGCAACAAAACAAATTCAATAACCGAACATTGGCTTCAATAACCAAACACTTGTCTCAATAATCACGAAGCCTGATTTCAATAACTACGAACATTGATTTCAATAACTGCGTGAACACTGGTTTGAAGAGCCACGAGCACTGGTTTCAACAACTACAGACATCGGCGTCGGTAATCAAGGTCCTTGGGCCGGCAGACAGAGCATGGCAGCGCGCAATGGGGCCCCGAGGAAGCGGTGCCCGCACCGCGTGGCGAATCAGTGCGGAGCCGGGCTGTCGAAGAGACGGGTCCTTCGGAGCCTAAGAGACGGGGGTCAATGCAAACGGGGGTCAGCCAGGGCACCAGATCTTGCAGGATTTTGCGAAGACCCCCTCTGGCTGACCCGGGTTAGCGAGCCGCGAGGCGGCCGCGCATATTGGCTGACCCCGGTTTGCGAGGACCTGCGTTGCAGTTTTTTTTTCCTGTATTGCAGTTTTTGGTTTCCTGCTGACCCGGGTCTGGATTGACCCGGGTCAGAAGATCCGAAGATCCCCGATCCCGATGAAGTCGTCCGGGGGGTGGTTTTGAGGCCCAGGACCCAGGTGGACGGGCACGAGTTCGTGGGGTCGGAAAATCGCGCCGCATCACAGGTACATGGCCGATGCGGCCCGGTGCACAGGCGTCGCCGATGCACCGCCGATGTCGCCGACGCGTTGCCGATGCGTCGCGGTCCTCCGCTCCGTTCCCATCAAGCGAACCTCTATGGACCCGTTTCTTTTCGGAACCGTTTCTTTCGTGCTAAAGAGGCCCCAAAAGGCGCCGCGGCGATTGCCCAGCAAAGATTGCACCACGCGCGTAGCAAATATATTGCCTACGTTACATTGCTAGAGAACCATTGTTTAGGTGCTACGTTGCCGAACATCGTTTGTTGTCCAACAAGAAAGGCATGCGTATGCCATGTGGAATGTGGAAGTTGCGGGCGCGGGGGAACAAACGGAGCAGCAACGCGCCAAATGCGCGCGAGAGCGACTAGCCATGCCAAACGCGTGGGGGGACAGCTCCGACGCGCCAAGTGCGCATTGGAAGGGCAAGGGGGGGAGACGGAGGAGGAAAATGACGAGGGCGATGAAGAATTGAACGCGATTCGCTTGCCAAGATGCACAGACCATACATTGGATGTAATGTTATTATGTTCAGGCGGCGTTTTTGGTACTTTCGATTACGAGCATTCTGGGCCCCTGACTGTAGCAATGAGAGTTCCATTGTCATCAAGACGACACAGTTGCATACAAAGGATGCAGATGAACGGTCATGGTCAAGGTTCCAGCGGGGATGCACGTGAGCAGAGGGAGCCGCGCGTCGCCACGGCTTCCAGAATCTCCGAATCCTTGCCGCGCGCGTTGATGCGGTCGCCTTCGGCGACGGAAAGATGCGAAGATCGCCTCCCCGGGATTGCACTCACGGCGCGCATGACTGGAAAATGGAGGCAAATCCAGTCGCGGCAACAATGGCTTTCCAGGACAGGTAATTATATTTTTCGTTTGCGCGGTCCGTCTGCGCTGGGGCAAAGTCGAAAAACGCATCGTCGCAGCCGAACAACCCAAACAGCTGCAACCCCAGATTTTCCATCTCGGAATTGTCGCCGCCATCGGCGTCCGCGATTGCAGGCAGGCCTCAGGCGGCGGCGAGGTTTGAGTCGCTGGCCGAAGTGTTCCACCGAGGGGTTTGTACGTCCGTTCGGCGTCGATGATTTCGATGACGTTTCGGCGACCGTTGCCCCGGCTTCTGCCCCCGCCGCCAGCAGCGCTTGCCCCAGGACGGTTTTTAAGCACACACAGACAAACACAAACATCCCCATTTACACACACAAACACACACACACATACACACAGCGCACGCACACAATCACACACACACATACACATACACATACACGCACACACTCATTCACACGCACACACACACACACATCCACACACACGCACACGCACACGCACATACAAACGTACGCACATACAAACACACACATACACACACTCGCGCACACATATGCACACACACACGCAAACACACGCACCATGCGGCGCAGCCTAGTCGTCGGCATGCCCGCGGCGGTTGTTGTTGCGGCGCGGGGACGCAACGCCTGTCCGACGCCTCGCATTGCTTGTTCGGTGCCGTCGGGGTGGGTTTGTTGTCGGGTAACAATCGCAATGCCATTGGCGCTGCAACCACAAACCGGATTCTGTCTGG